TAGACTTGAGGTGCTGAATCCTAACTTTCTCACTACTGGCTCTGTAACCTTCGATAGGTACTCAGCCTTGTTTTGCCTCAGTTTTCTCATCTGTGAAACGGGGATGCAAATAGTATCCATGCCATAGGGTGGTTCTGAGATTTAGGTTAATTAATGCAAAGCACTTAGAATGGTGTCTGGCATATAACATTAGTCACTGAGATAACGTGCACACACACTCTGGCTTCTGTCATTCAAATGTCGATACTACCAACATTTTATTAATGGCAATCACTTTTAATCTTTACGCCTGTCCTTTAACAGTAAAATGATCATGAAACTACATATTGATGATCCTCATTCCCTTGGGAACCAAAATGTACTCAATATATTTTATTATTAAGTTACTGAATTCTTGTTTCTGATCATCAGTAGTAATTTGTTAATTCTCAATTACTGTCTACAAAATTGATTATTCACAATACTTCATTCCTGGATAAGCATGAGACCCCAGAGCGATTTATTACCATAACTGCCTCATTGGCCAATACGAGACAGGTACGAGGTTTGAAAAATTCTCTCCTCCTTTCTTTCCTAGGGTCAAGGCATTTTACCTCTCTCTTGTGAATAAAAATATTTAAAAGTCGGGAATACTGATTGTAAAACTGCACTGACAACCCACAGGAGTGACTATGTAGGCTTTAGTGAAAATGATGTCTGAATCCGATTAAATGCCTATGTTAACTGTTCTCATCACTGTGTTATATCCTCTGCTTCCATTTTACCATAAAAACCAAGATGATTTCAGGTGTAAAACAATTTGTAAAGTGACTGTATTTTCTAAAGCAGTGATTTGCTTCTTCTAAATTTTTATTTAAACCTGTACACACCCCCCTTACCAATAAAGCATCATGCACACAGTGCTTTCTAAGGTATATATAGCAGGTAAAAGAAATTCTAGTACATCTCTTGTCACTATTAGTTTCAATTTTTCCTAAAAAGACCAGAAAATGGGAAAAATGATGGGAGTCCAATTTTTCAGTTTTAAGTACGTATGTAATATTAAAAACACATGGGTACTTCATCTCTTTACTAAAACTCCTTTCATTTCCAAAATCAAGTGAGCAACTGAGGCTAATCTAGTCATAACATGGATGAGGTATTTATGAAACTGGGCAGCCTACCTCTGTATTTTTTTATAGTCATGAAGCAGAAACACAATCATATGACTATGGGGTTTACTATGTATTAATGCATGGTACAAACAAATTAAGAACTTCATAATCCTGTGACAAGCAAACAAGAGTCTGAGGGGAAGTGGAAGGGAGGCAGAGAAGTGTGCAGTCAAGCTGAGAAAATGCTAACATTTCACAGTATTAAGTTTAGAACCAGTTGCACTCCCTTTCTTGAAGTAAGTTACACTTAGCTCTAGAAAAATTATTTATGATTTGGCACTCCTACAATACTTTCTATGGTGGCTTTATGAAAAGACTCTTACTTATTAAAATGAAAACAAAATTAAAATGAATAAATTTTGAAAAATATGTATTTTGAAACAAATTCCAAATATGAGTCTCCCTAGAAACACAAAACAGGCAAAATACTTTTTGTATAGACAAAAAGTCCCCCCAAATGGACAGACGTTAGAAATCTTTTTGCAGATGGAAAAAATAAGGCTCATTGTCCAAATGCCTTGTGCAAATATAGGAATAAAAAAAAAGGATAACTTTTCTTGTTATATAGGACTTAATAGCAGAGATTTCTAGGTCTTATCCCCAAGTTCACATAACCAGCTAATAGACTACATTTACTATCCTTCCTTGCTAACAGGTGTGACCATGTAACTATGTTCCAGCCAATGAGACGTAAGTAGAATTGAATTGTGGAGTGGGGCTTCCAGGGGGAAGGAATGCATTTTTTGCCTCTTTTTCCTTTCTGCAGCCTGAAAAGCTGATGAAATGCATGAATCTTCAGCAGCTATCTGGCCAAGGGGTAGAAGCCAGTGGCTAAGGGATGATGGAACAGAAAGAAAGGACCTGGGCTCCTATTGACATCCTGAGGCCACTGTATCAACCCTGGACTACACTGGCCTTCTTTTACATAAGAGAAAAATAATTTTATTTAAGTCACCACAATTTTGATTCTTTTGGGTATATGCAGCAGAACCTAACCCTATTCTAAATCCTAATTCTATCTGAAGGAGCATTAACTATCAGATCATACTTCTATTGGGGAATGAAACTTAACAAAATAGGATGTTAATTTAAAGTTCTAATTAGTAATAATCATGAAGTTTTCTCATACAAACTACGTAATGATAACTTGCAAAAGCTTTCATTGTAGACTGACAACAAATGCTCAATAAATACCCATGCTGAAGAAGGTGATCAAGTTTTAAAGGTTTTCTACAATAAATTAGTGTTTCCCAAAATAATATAATTTTGGACAAGCTAGCAACAAGATATTTATAAAAATATGACACTAAATTTGGTGAACAAAGTTAAAGAAATGGAATCCTTGGGCGCCTGGGTGGCTCAGTTGGTTAAGCAGCTGCCTTCGGCTCAGGTTATGATCCTGGAGTCCTGGGATCGAGTCCCGCATCAGGCTCCCTGCTCAGCGGGGAGTCTGCTTCTCCCTCTGACCCTCTTCCCTCTTGTGCTCTCTATCTCTCATTCTCTCTCTCTCAAATAAATAAATAAAATCTTTAAAAAAAAAAAAGAAATGGAATCCTTATTTTCTAAAAGGTATCACTCTTTGGAAGATAATATGGGGAACACACAGTAACATACAAATCTACACATAATTATGTAAACACCGCTTTGACACACAACAGCAAGTATTTTTATTGTGTTAAAGTGTTTATGAATGCATTTTCTGGCAATAAAATTGCAATAATAAAGACACCATACTTGGTAAGATACAATAATGGGAAGAAAAGATATTGACATGATTTTATGTGTCAAATTAGCTTAGTTTCTTATGAAACTTTAGTTTCATGCTATTTAGACTGTCTACACACTGGCAGGGGAAGAAAAGCATTTTACTTATGAAAACATTGGAGGAGACAGTCCATTTTATGTGGGAATAATGGTTTTTTAACAGAGCTCAATTAAGAGACATCAGGACCCCTGCCTCAAAAGCCATTAGCAAATCTATCTGGCAGATTTTATGCTATATCATAAAACAATCTAAACTGCTTAGTATGCCAATTTGCCTAAGACACTTGCCATATAAACTGCTTTCAGGAGCCAGCAGTAAGTTTCATAAATACTTAAAGATAAAAAATCGAAGGATACTGGCATTCAAAGGAGATGACACTGTTAACTCATATTGCCAAAAAATTTATAAATACACTTGCATTTTGCTTTGGAGTCAAATTTCTTTTCCATTTCCATTTCTATTTAACCTTTAGCTTCTCAAATAGCCCTGGCAGTAGAGGGCCCGATTGATGGTTTTCCCTAACATTGTCAAACTATTAATTCAAAACTGAAGTCAATCTCTACTTCTTTTCCCCCTAAAGCAAGGTACCTTATAATATGTAATAATATAAGCTCACCTGAATGAGTAAATAGGATAGAGGTTTAATTCATTCTTTTTATAGACAGGGAATTAAATCTAGCCATCTGTCTCAGTATCTTTTTTTTTTTGCCAGGAATAACAAAATAATAAAAACTCCTATTAGGAAAAGATCTACAAGTCTGGGCTTTAAACAATGTGGAAATCAAGAGGAAAGCTAAAAATAACCACGCATTGTACCTGTCCTATTTTGTTCAAATTCTCATAATTTTAAATAGAGAATAGTAATGTTCACTTAAATGTTAACTGTTGTTATAACTTCCTTCTTGAAGCAAAATACTTTCACATTTATTCTCATCTTTAACACATCATGTGTTAAGTTTCTAAAATCACCCCAAATCATAAAACTAAGCTAAGAGGGAGGGCCCAACATTAACTAGTCCATTCCTCTTACTTTATAAAATACTGACTTTAAACATCCCTGAGAGTTTAATTTTATTCTGATTTTTATCTGCCTTCCTGTCTTCACAAGGACAGAATCACTTGCCATTACCAAAAGGTTTGCTTTTAGTAAATTCCTGCCAGAGAAAAGCTCTCAAAGTGCAGTCCATAGAAGACTATCTACATCAGGACCACTGAGGCTTGCAAAATGCATATTCCTGGGCCTTGCTCAAGATCTATGACACTGATTATCTCCACTGTGAGGCTCAGGAACCTGCATGCTCATGACAAGCACCATTGCCTTAAAATGAAATTTAAATTCCTCGAGCTGAAAGGTTGTTCCACCTTATCTCCTTTTCAGAGTAACTGGAAAACACTGAGTCTCTAAACTGTGCTTCTTTGAGATTATAAAGCTATCTTTCTGTCTCTCTTCATTAGTAAACTAACTGAAGTTCTTCAACGTTCCTTCTTTCATCTGTCTGTCTCACTTCTTTGACATCTATGTACTATTTCTTCCCAAACTTTCTCCAACCTCTCAATGACTAGCAAAACAGTGAATGCAAACCAACCAGCAGTGACTATTAAGATGATTAGTTCATGGAATCTCTGGTTTACTCTATGTTCACGTATGGATCCCTGTTATGTGGTAACTTTTTTTAAAAAAATGACACATCTGGGCATGTTTTATTTTCTGTGGATTAATTCTCCTTACTTCTCTTTCACACACTGTATTCTGGGACTCTTCCCAACTCTTCCCACTGACATTCCATCTCCAAATTAACTAAGTAATGCTAAACATCAATTTTTCTTTCCACAAGCAGCCATCCAAATTTGTGGCAGGTATGAATTCCATGAATATGCTTCCCTTGCCCTAGATTCAGAGCACTGTTAGAGACCCAAATCCCAAGGCGAGGCTGAGAGCACCACATTCTCCTGGAAGCAATTACTCATTCACAGACACAGGAAGCATGTGAGGGTGTCCCAGTCAGTCAGACATTCTCCCAAGGTGATGCTTTGGCTCTCCTCTACGTTGCTTATGCCAGCTCACAGTCAGCACTTCCTACCTGCCCAGCCAGTATAAACAGTGCTATCCCGGGGGTCTGCCGACTTCAAGCCCCTCTCCATTTGCTGAAGCAGCTCTCGAATCTTATTGTTCAAGCGTTGTGAGAACTCAGGAGTCAGCTGTAGATATTAAAGGGAAAACAAGTATCAAAAAATATGGACCGCTCAACTTCCTGGACTACAGGCTATCAACACAGGAGGGTACTTCATTTCCACTTAGGCCACTTCTACCGCCTGGGAGAACTGGAAAATTATTTTATTCTTAATAACCACAAATTTATATAAAACTTTAAAATGCTATGACATTTTCCTACTCAAGGCAGGAAATATTTTGTAACTAAATGTCTTACATCAAATTTATAATTAAATACTAAAGTAGACTGCTGATGAAAAACTGGCATGCAGTAATTTCCAGTTAATAGGGAGCATCTGTTATTTAAGCCGATATTTTTTATTATAATAAAAGTCATCTTAATAAATTAAGCACAAGTCAGAAGATGTTTGCTATTTTCCAGCTATTCAAGCAGCAGCAATGTTAATTCCCTAAGGAAACACTCTCGTTGCTTTTGTTATTTAAAAAATAAGGATAAACATTTATAAAAATCCATTTATAAAAAATGGATAAACAATTTTTAAAAACTGTAGAAGTAGCATAAGAAAGTCAAAATAAATTCACGGACATCAGGAGGCTCAGGCAGAGTGGCAAGAACATCAGACCTAGCAGCACAAAACCCATGCCTAGCACAGTGCCTAGCAGAGGAGGGGCTTCATAAATACTGCCCAATGAATGAGGCTGGCTACATCTTTATCCACCATTAGCTGAGTGATCGCGCTCTACTCATAAGTTCTTTATGCTTCAATTACCTTTATAAAGTCAGGATAGTAGTACCTGCCCCACCAATTTCAAAAGGTACTTTGAGGATCAAGTGAGATCGTGTGCCTAAGGTCTCTCACATTCAGGGATGTAACTGTTGATATTTTTATAATTTTAAGCAGTCCAAGGGTCTATAACAAGTAATAATTTGGGTATGGATTTAAAAAGCACACGAAAGCTGGGGCTGTGGGGTACTGAAGGCCATACGAAGGCCCACAGATGCTGGGCAAACTGTGAGGTCCACAAAAGCACTCTTATTCATCCTAAAGGCAACTGAAAAATATTTTGCAAGTTCTGTATACACTGAATCATGAAGTGTCTTAAAAGGTCACTTTACTGTATCTCTCCACAATTTTAGAAACCTGCTGTGATTCCCTGTATTTACAGAGCAGTAAAATTTCAAAACAATGTTGGGCAATATTACATGGGCACAAACATTTCACTTCACCATGTAAGGATTATAAAAACAAACCTAACTACTACCTGTTAACATCATCATCTCATTTTTTAAAGAGGGCATATTAACACTGGAACAAGAAAGAAGGCAGTATCAGAATTATTATAAAATATATTAAATTTTACTTCTGAAGAGCATCTCTGATAAGGCAAATCAGACTATCAACCACATCTGGATAATTTTTCTTAAGTACCATGATCCCTTATTTCACACTCTGAAGAAGAAACCACATCGTTTGACTGACACGCTCCCATTATTTAACAATTTCTGCCAAGAGGTTAAGATTTCAACAAGTCTTGAAAATACATTTAATAATAAAATACACTTCAATATTAATATAAAAGGTCTATAAATCTCAACTAGACAGAGGAGTACATCTATATGAGAACATGTCATCTTCTGTTCATAGATCATGGATAATTTATCATCTTGCCTGGCCTTACTTTGAGACCAAGAATGAGAACACCTCAGTCTCAGGAAAGGAAGTTACTTTCTATTTGTCACATAACTGCATTTAATAAAGGTGACCTGCCAGAGAATATTGATTGCTTTGGCAGACCACAAAATTAAACTCTAGCAATAATTTGTAGTCTCCAAAAGCCCTTTTTTTCTGATGGATGCCAGAAAACAGACCAATTTCTTATTGAAATGTGTTAACAAATTAAGGAGGACAGATCTCCAGGGTCTGAATCTTGATGTTTAACATTAAACAATTTTAGAACTGGTATGCTAGTTTCTTTCTGGAATTTGTCCAAAACCATGTGTTAGGTGATAAATTACTTTATTATTTTTGGGTCAGAGTTTAAATGTGTGAATATCTTTTTTTCTCTCTTAAAATGGTTAAATTTGTAAAAGGATTTAATTTATAAAAAGCCTGAATAGTGAGCTCTATTTTATTGAAGGCTTCTGTCATTAGGATAAACCCTCAAGCGTTCTCTTTGCCAAGTCTGCATGAAACAGCAGGTCTTCCTCCAACAAGACAGGACAAAAAATCAGGATCTGCAGAGGTAGACAGAACACAGGTCCAAATAGCTAAAAGGAAGTCATCTGACGTCAGATCATTAAAAGAAGCTTTGCTTGTGTAGTTCAATTTTGGTCTTAAAAAAAAAAAATCAGGGGTGCCTGGGTGGCTCAGTCGGTTAAGCATCTGACTCTTGGTTTCAGCTCTAGTCATGATCTCCTGGTTGTGGATTGAGCCCCAAGTCGGGCTCTGCGCTCAGTGTGGAGTCTGCTTCAGATTCTCTCTCCCTCTCTAGCTCACTCTCTCTCAAATAAATAAATAAATAAAATCTTAAAAAAAAAATCAGATTGACTCGATTCCTATGTATTTTGGTACTCTTCTATCCTACAACTCTTCTCCAGCTCTTTCATTCCTCCTACTTGTATTACTGATGTTAAATTAATCCATTATGACAAATGTTTCCAGGGAAGAACTGAAAGAGCCACATAAAGTTAACTTGGCAGATACGAAATCTCTAATTATAGAGATTATATCTCATGTGAAGCGCTTTTCGTATGGTGAGTTTAGAAGAAATAAACTGGTAGAATTAAAAAAAAAATGTGTGTACTTTAAAGAGATCACTCTTCCAACCTAACACACTCTTATAATTTCTCAGCTAGGCATTCTTAAAAAGAATTGTATTCCCTCTTAATTACGTTCACTCAAAGAGGCATGAGAGAATTATGTTCACTCAAACAGGCCTGTGGGGTACCTTACATCCAGCTTCTCTTTTGCTCTGTGGCTTATAAGTAACATTAAGTTACTATCACCCTGCTCTCCACCCCCCAAGCTGTGGGGATGTCCTGCAAAGAGTGGCAGAAGTAGGAAGAATTTCAGGCCTATGTCCCTAATTTTTCTCAGCACTTTGTTTAAAGATGTCTTTACCACACATCCCCGTTTACTCTCAGCATTGACCCCGCCCATGTTTGCATACAAATATAAAGCAATAACATGGCATATGTGACATACCACCAGGACTCCTCCCCTCTCTTTAATTTTTTTTTTTTAAGATTTTATTTTATTTATTTGACAGAGAGACGGCCAGAGCAGGAACACAAGCAGGGGGAGTGGGAGAGGGAGAAGCAGGCCTCCCGCGGAGCAGGGAGCCCGATGTGGGGCTCCATCCCAGGACCCTGGGATCATGACCTGAGCAGAAGGCAGACGCTTAACGACTGAGCCACCCAGACGCCCCTCCTCCCCTCTCTTTAAAAAGCAAACCAAAATTGATCAAAAATGCCAAATCACAGAAAAACGACATATTCGCCAATTTTTATAAATTACTAATGACTGAGGCTACTTCAATTATGAATATTAATAACAATGACTTCTTACAGAAGTAGAACTCAAATTACCTATTTTGACATGTATTTTATATATTTATCTTGAAATTACGTATATTTTTAAAGGGGGATGCTCATCCCTTTCCTTCAGGCAAAAACTGAGCTCCTTTCTCAACACTAGGGGCTGGAGGTAGGGATGCAGGCAGATGTATCCCAAACTCACCCTCCCGGCAGAATCAAAGTAGCCTTCGGCCAGGGATTTGTTAAAATCGGCATAAGGATTCGGGAAGGCCCTTTGAGCCATGACGCCGGAAGCGAGCCTGCAGAAGAGGGGAAAAAAAGAAACTAGGTTGAGACAGGGGCCTCGGCCGTGTTGCGAAGGCAGCGGCCAGAGCCCGCGCAACACCTTCCCTCCAGCTCCTGGGCCACTGCGCAGTCTAGGTGGTCTAAGCGGACCCAAGGCCCACGGCGGCACGGCTGCTAGGGCGCTGCACCTCCGCGAAAAGGCTGCCAGGGCCCAGCTCCAACCGCGATGAAGGGACCCCGTTTTGCACCCTTCGTCCCCACTCCCACGATTTGAAGCTGCGGCGGGTTCAGTGTCCTGAAGCCCGGCCAGGCCTCGGCCTCTCACCCTGCAGCCTCGGACACCAAGGGATGCGATGCTTTCACTGCCCACTTCCTGTCAGCCGGACCAATCAGAACCTTCGACACTCTGGAGGCCCGCCCTCTTGTCATTTAGAGTTTGTTAAAGAGACAGGAGGGTGATTTCTAAAGTATCACGCCCGGTGGTTTATTTCTGGGTAGATGGCGTGGGGACGGAGCTTAGAGTAACGTGCAAATGTGCCCGATATTTCCTGCCTTTCTTCTCTTTTAACTTTTTTATTTAAAAAAATTAATTCAGGTCCAGTTGAGTCATAAGAATTAGGAATTTATCTGGAGAAGAAAAAAGACTGCTTTGAGGCCTGAACGTATTCATATTTCTACTGCTCAGACTGAATAAAATGGGGAGGATAATGTCTCTACAGAGGCCTTCCAGACTTTTTCTTTTGTTTCAGAAAAGAAAGAAAATAAAACACCACTGCCACCATTAGCAGCATCAAGAACAAAAAACAGGGTATATTGAAGAAATGGATAATGGGTCCTTTGGAGATAATTTATGATAATTGAACCTCCAAGGCACTAAAGAAGAGATGTGAATGCCCAAGGGATAAACTATCAAATGGCAATTGAAACTTCAGGGAAAATGCACAAAATCACAAATCACGGCTCTTAAGAATTTTGATTTGCTCATTAGTCTAAATGGGACTGTAATACAATATACTTAAGTCCTTAAAAAAAATAAGTCCAACAGAACAGGATATCCACAACATTGAAATTCAATGTTTAATAGTCTCCATTATCTGAAAATCAGTCCTTTCATTTACACTTAAATCTCACTCGGGACACATTCGTCCCATTCTGTTGCTCAGAGGATTCCGGAATTCAGTTAAAAAGTCATAGTCACTCTCTCTGCTCTTTCCCTTCCTCTTGTTTCAGTGAAGGACTTGAGCATCAAACATCCAGCTGGTGAAGCTCAATCCCTACTTCACCCCCACCTTGGCCCAAAATTGTCCCTTTGTGGCTGCCATCTCAAAGTCTACTTCTGACCCCCTCCTGCCCAGTTTGTTGTTTTAACTGTTGTCTTCTAGGATATTAGTCAGCTCCTTCACCCAATTCATGAAGATTTAGTAGAGGCCCTCAGTGACTCTCAAATTGGTACCTTTCCTATTTTAATAGATGGGTGTGTGGGAGAGCAACTCATAAGAAAGAAGAGGAAAAGGGGCGAGGGGCATTTTATCAATTAATTGTCTTTAATTATTAATGGCTTACTATCAGTTTCTCATTCACGGGTTTTATAAGCAATTAAAATCAGTGTGGTATTTAAGTAGATTAATGATTACTAGAGGGGGGGCGGCAACCTAAGACAGTAGATTGTGCTTGAGCAGAAATAGAAGAAGAGTGGGAAGGGGAAGATGGAAGGAGAGTAATGGACGAGTAAGATGCGAAGGAGGAAAGGAGCATCTTGGTCGGCTTGACGGGCAGCCTCCCCAAAACCAAAGAAGTAAATGGAAAATGTAGTGAGATAGTGTAGGGGTTCTCAGTCTCGGCCCTGTTGATATTTGGAAAAGGATGCTTCTTTGTTGTGGGACCCTGTCCCGTTCATTGCAGTATGTTTAGCAGTATCCCTGGCCCCTGCACACCCAGGAGCAAGTAGCACCCACTCCCCAAGTGGTGACAACCGAAAATGTTTGCAGACATTGCCAAATACCAGATATCCCTGTGAGGGGTGGGACAACAAATTGCCTGTGGCTGGTGAACACTGAGATAGTGTAACCAAAAATGTTTAATAAGATTAAGCAACTGTGTAATTAATTCCAGTGTCCTCATTGAAGATTTGCCTTGCTAGAATAATGCACTGAAAGAAATTCAGGAGGAACTTGGGGAGGGAAGTTTTGTTGAATGTGTGTCTGTGTTTGAATCTCAGGTGCAGAAATGAGCTAATTATACTCCTTGGTTTTTCGTATAACATTATCAGTGCATGCAAGACCCTATTCTATTTTAATTTTTCTCTTAATTCCCAGTTCCCACCCGTTCTTCTCCTCCAGAAGGCAATCACCACAATATGTTTAGTTTGTATATCTTTTGGGAAAATGTATCATGGGTTTTGTAGGTATATACTTTTAATAAGTGGAATAGTGCTACAAATACTCAACCACTTGTGATTTAAATCTCTCTGTGTTGCTCCGCGTACCATTGGTTGTTTTAGATAATGTAGTATATTTTCATAGTATGTCTCCACCGCATTTTACTTATCCTTTCCCCTAGGGAAGGGCATTGTTTCTAACTTCCACATCACAAATAATACAGTCAGGTATATCCAGGCACATGTTCTCAGAAGGATCTGGATGTGAGTATTCCTGAGATAAATACTGCAGTCCGCCCTCATCCACGGTCTCGCTTTCTGCACTTTCAGTTCCCCGTGGTCAGCCTTGCTCTGGAAGCAGATGATCTTTCTGTGGCGAATCGTCAGAAGGTCAATAGTAGCCTAACGCTACCTCATGATGCCTGCTTCATACTCCTCGCCTCATCTCACCACGTTGGCATTTTGTCATCTCACATCATAAGAAGAAGAGGAGGGGTGAGTACAGTAAAGCACAATACAGTACAGTACGATGTTTTGTCAGAGAGAAACCACATTCACATAACTTTTATTATATTTTTATAATTTCTCTATCATTACTTATTGTTGTTAATCTTTTACTGTGCTTAAGTTGTAAATTAAACTTTATCACAAGTATGTATGCCTAGGGGGAAAAAACATAGTATATGTAGGATTTGGTGCTATCTGTGGTTTCAGGCATCCACCGGGGATCTTGGAACGTATCTTCCACAGATAATGGAGGACTATTATACCCAGAAGTAGATTACTGAATCCAAGGACATCTTATACTTGGTTTCCCTAGTCCCTTTAGAATGCTTTCCAGAACTATTCGACTAGTTTATATTCCCTCCAATAGTATCTAATAGTTTCTGTCATTCCCATGTCCTTTCCAACACTAGTTATTATCTAGTGTTGTAGTTTTTGCAATTCTAATGGACAATGTGGAAATATCATTGATGGTTAAGCTTTCAGTATTTTTGTTGCTAAGGATGTTGAGCTTTCCTTCGTACTTATTAGACATCTGGTCATTCTCTGCGATTTACTTGTTCATATCCTTTGCCAATTTTTCTATTGGGTATTGTATTACTTTCTTGTTGATTTGCAGGAGTTGTTTTTGTTTTTTTGTGGGGGCGGGTAGGTTATTGTAGATACTAATCTTTTTTGGCTTTAGATGTTGCAGAATCTCCTCTGGTCAGTTAGCTTTTTCAAGGGTATCCTTCACTGTACTATAATTCTTCATCTTAATGCAGTTAGACCCATCCAAGTTTGACATTGTGATTTGAGAATTTAGCTTCCTGTCCAGAAAGTCTTTATCCACTCTTAGGCTACGAAGATGGCTTTCTGCATTTTATTTTATTATCTTTTTACTTTTTACATTTATGTCCCTAGGCGCCCTGGAGTTCACTTTTGAATATAGCATGAGGCATGTATCCATACTTATTTTGGAGAGGGTCTAGAATTGTTTCGAAAGTTCAGATATCATCCAAGTATGAACAAGTTCTCTCTTTGTTAACCAGAAGAACCCATCGATTTGAATTAGTAGAAATCATGCAGAATTCATTTCTTTTGTTTGTCTTATTTCATTTTGTTAGAGAAGCAACCCAAAGAATTTCTTCTTAGTTCTGGCTCAAAAGAAAAATGCTTGACCTTGACATACGTGTGTTAGTTTTCTAGGGCTGTCATAACAAAAGATTGGGTAGCTTAACTGACAGTTTATTGCCTCACGGTTCTGGAGGTTGGCTATCCAAGATAAAGGTGCTGGCGGGGTTGATTTCTTCTGAAGCCTCTCTCCTTAGCTTGCACATGGCTGTCTTCTCCGTGTGTCTTCACATGGTCTCTGTGTGTCTGTTTCCTAATCTCTTCTTAGAAGGACACCAGTCATAATGGATAAGTACCTACTCTAATGACCTCATATCACTTAGTTACATTGTTAAAGAACCTATATCTCCAAGTACGGCCACATGCTGAGGTACCGGCAGTTACGACCCCAACATATGAATTTGGGGTGGGGGGAGGGGCACAATTCAGCCCATACGAGTACTATTTTCATCTGTGGCTGTGATGGCTGAACACATTTGTGATTAATATAGTTTTGATTGTTGATTTTTCAAGGCCCATTCCATTCCATAAATTCCAAATAATTTTTTTGGAAAAAATATAATAGTGTTCCTTTTCTTAAGTACCTTGTGTAAACTCTCAGGAAATAATCATTGTATTATTGCCTTTGAAACAGAATACTTCTAGAACTCTGGTAAGGTCTATGTTAAACTGAGAAAATGGATATGGTCTGAGGGCTCTTCAGCTCTATTCTAAGACCTTAGTTTCAGAATATTATAATGTGTACTAGTTAGGGTGGAAGCTAAGTTACAAAGAGGCTCAAAAGCATAATCAGTGAAATAAATACATTTATTTTTCTCTTCATTTCATCCTATTGTTTTTTCCTCCCTCAGTGTGTTATCCTTGCCTGTAAGATCCATACTGGTCATGACATAGCTGTATTCCAGCTTGTGGGAAGGTCAGGAAAGCACAGGGGTGCACGTGTCTTTGGCCCCAGACCAGGGAGTGGAAACCATCACTTCCACATTATGCCCCTGATGAGGATTCAGTCACATTGCCACCTCTAGCTGTCCAGAAGCCTGCAAAATAAAGTCTTCTGCTGAGCTGCTGAGTGGCCTGCCACAGTGAAAGAGGGAGGACTACTTTTGGCGGCCAGTTAGTGGCTCCAATGCATAATGGCAGTTCTAGTAACTGCTACTATGTGTCTGCTATCAAAGGGGCAACATGCTTACCGTTTCTGTGGTGTTTCCTTTGCCATGTGGACCTTCTAGCAACCAAGCCTTCTCCCTTTCCTCCCACAATTTCCCTAGAGCATTCTTGGCAACCAGGTCATTGACCTTTGGTAGAAAGTAGATCAGAAGACTCC